GGTTAACAACAAGATTTTTTACGAATAATTAAATTCATTTTCAAAGACATTAGATAGTCTCAATTTTCTTCATGATTATTTGTCTTTTCGAAAGATCTTATATTTTTTTCCACCTGATCTTTTGTAAAAAAAAAAAAAAAAAAAAAAAAAAAAAAAAAAAAAAAAAAAAAAAAAAAAAGAAAAACAAAAATTTGAAAAAGCAAAACTAAAATTTGCAAAATTAGAAAAATTGGCAAAAACGAAAAATTACAAAATTAGAAAAAATGATTCTGATCTAAAAATGTGAAAATAGTTTTTTTTAAGAATACTGGAATAAACCTCAAAACGACCCCCATTAACATTATAAAGTGAGTTAAAATTTTTGAAAAATAGTTTTTATATAGATATTATTCTAAACAATCTAGTCAGTTTCATTTTTAAGGCACAAACTTTCAACGAAATTTGAGACACAAAAAAACCCCAAATTAAGGCACAAAATTTGGATTTTTTTTTTACAATTTATTTTTACTAGAATTTGAATTTTGTACCTTAATTTGAGATTTTTATTGTGCCTTAAATTTCGTTGCAGTTTGTGCTTTAAAAGTGAAACTGACTGCATTGATTTTCATTTCTGTATACAGTCAGTTTCAATTTTAAGACACAAACTTTCAACGAAATTTAAGGCACAAAAAAAATCTCAAATTAAGGCTCAAAATTTGGAATTTTTTTTTTACAATTTATTTTTACTATAATTTGAATTTTGTGCATTAATTTGAGATTTTTTTTGTGCCATAAATTTCGTTGAAATTTTGTGCCTTAAAAGTGAAACTGACTGTAAATAAAAAAGGAAAACATAAAAAAAATAATTCTCTTGAGAAAAAAAACCCTGGAAATTCTTATTTGATTCTGTTTTTTAATTATTGTATTGAAAAAAAGACTTTAAATGAAAATAAACCCAAAAAAGATTTTTATTGTTAATATTAGGAGAATTGACGTTTTAATTTTTTTCATTTAAAATACAATCGTTTTATTTAAGAATCAAAAATTTAAAATTCTACATCACCCACTTATGAAAACGGTTATAAATTAAATTACACTTATTCAATACAATATTCAACCACAAAAAATCAAGAATATAAATTATTATTACCCAAATTGAAATTAAACATCTATACAACTCTATTATTTTTATTAAATACGTAGATCAATCGAGTGTAGCAAATAATTAAATGTGTAAATTAAAGAAACTCAACTTTAATGAACTTTAGGTAGGGTTATTACTAAGTTCATAAAAAATTCTGTTATTTATTATAAGGATTCGATTCGAAATATTTATATTTTAACAAAACTTTTCTTATTATTCACAATTAAAAACCATACCAGAATTTATTTTAATTTTAGGTCTTTTTTTTTTTTTTTTGAAATCACAAAAATTTAAAAAATTCAGTATATATTGCTCATTTATATTGTTAACCAATTATAACAACAATCTTAAATTATTTATTTACTTATTGGGGATTAATACCAATTTTGTAATGTGTTCAAAATGAACACAATATCCCCTTAAACATCAAAAAAAAAAAAAAAAACAAATTTGACCATAAAAAAAAAAAAAACACAATTAAAGTATTTAGAGAGAACACAAACAGGTATAACATACATAATAAAAATCACCAATAATTCAAAAATGACTTTAATTTAACTTTATCACATAAAAAAAAACCAGGAATAAGTGATGAACCACACAATCACGAAATATAATAAAATTCTACCAACATACAAAAACATAAATCCACATACAACGGGATCAAAAAAAATTGTTTTAATTTTTTTATTATTGAAAAAAGATGATTTAACAAAATTACCCCCGGTTTACAATTTTATTTATTTTAATTTTAGAAATTAATACAGTCAGTTTCACTTTTAAGGCACAAACTTTCAACGAAATTTAAGGCACAAAAAAAATCTCAAATTAAGGCACAAAATTTGGAATTTTATTTTTTACAATTTATTTTTACTTGAATTTGAATTTTCTGCCTTAATTTGAGATTTTTTTTGTTCCTTAAATTTCGTTGAAAGTTTGTGCCTTAAAAGTGAAACTGACTGTAATAAATTATAGAAATTATCTTACTCTTAATTTTTTTTAAAAAAACCTAGGCTCTTGACAATATTCCCTGAAACTCAAAAAAAAAAAAAAAAAAAAAAACTATTTTATTTAAATAATTTATTTGTATTTTCACCCTTTTTATTTCGTTATACCGACAACGAACAATTCCTATCCTAGGACACAATAAATACACAATATTTCTTCAAAAATAAAATTATATTTGGAATTTATGAGTATTTTAAAACACTATTCCGTCACCAATTCCAAGAAGAAAAAAGTTGATAACGGAAATCTTATCAATATTACAGTCAATTTCACTTTTAATACACAAAAGTTAAATTAAGGTACAAAAAAATTCCAAATTAAGGTACAAATTTGAAAATTTTTTTATCTGAATTGCTTTACTAGAATCCGATTTTTATACTTTGGTTTTGTATTTTTTTTTGTAACTTAGATTCATTTGAAGGTTTATACCTTAAAAAATGATAATTAAGTTTAGGATATTTTTTAAATAATTTCTTTGAAGAAAGAAATTTTATTCTTGATGAATATATATATATATATATATATATATATATAGTTATAATTCACTTTTAAAAATGTAATAATAAGTTTTTAAAATAAATAAGTCATAACAATCAACTCGGTTTCAAAAAAATCAATCAATTATTTTCGATAAGAAATAATACAAAATTTCTTTTAAAATTTTGATTTCAAATCAATTTTTCTTTTTGTTTAAAGAAATAATATCATTATAATTACCAAAACTTTAGATTAAAAATGTTTTCCAAAATACTTTTTTAAAAACTAAAAAAATTCAACCCATGAAATATAGAAAAACCAGATAATTTGATTATTTTAAAATTAATAATGAAAAACCCAAATCTGAATTATTTCAATAAATACAATATAATCCAACAAAAACTATTTTCTATTATTTCTCAAATATATTTAATATTACCAAATGGATAAAAAAATTACCAATTAATAATTATAGAAAAAAAATATTTAATATTATCAAAGAACTTATTTCAATGAAATATTTATCTTAAAACTCTAAATAATTAAAAATCATATTAAAACTTTTAAATTTCAAAAAATAAATGAAATGGCTTAAAAAAAACATTCATGAAGATTTTTTTCTATTTTAATGTCTAAAAGAAAAGTTAATTTTTTTTATTATTGTGTTTTTGGAATAAAATAAAATTTTCAATGTGATATATATTTACAAAATCTTTTAACTTACCAAAATGTAAAATTTCAACAAAATAATTTTTTTTGCAAAATTTGCTATTTTTTATTTTACAACCCAATTCCAAACCAAAATGATCTGATCTTTTTTCTAAAAATTATTTGGAAACAATGTATTCTTTTATAAAATAATAATTAATTTTATTTAATACCAGAAAACCTTGTCTTTAAAAATTTTATTTATCATTTATGTAACTAAATACACTATCACTTTTCGAGATTAAATGAATACTACCACTATAGAAATTATTATTCAAATCCTTACAATTCACAATTTCATACAAAAAAAAACAAAGAGACACAAGAGTAAATATAAAACTGGGATCAATTTTTTTTTTATTGCTCAACAAATTAAAAAATTTCTTAAATTTCGATTTTTGGTGTTTACACAAGTATAAATTGAAAAAAATTGAATTTATAAATATTGGATCTCTGGACGAATTACTCATCGTTCAAAAATCAAAATAATCTGAAAAATTGATTTTTCAAGTTTAGAGCTCTTTATCTCCTCTAGTTTAGAAGTTATTCTCAATTTTCGATTTTTTATCAAAAAAAAATTTTTTTTGAAATTTTGAATTTTTCATTTTTAAAAAAGGTACATTTTAACACAAAAATAATTTTTTTTTGGTATTTTAAAGATCATCTTACTAGGGTAATTTTTGATTAAAAATGTGATTTTGGTGAATAAAATTGAAAAAATTAAGGTTTAAAAAAAAATTTTTTTTTGAAAATTTTTTTACTACTCGTTTGATTTTCTTATTTTTGATTTACTCAAATATTATATTTATAATATATTTTAAACTACAATAGTTATCAATTTTTTAATTTTGAAATTTTTTTCTTAGATTAAAAAAAATTTTTTATTTATTTTTTTTTCACTTTTATCCAAGTTATTTATAAAAATACATAAGTTACTGTGAATATTAGTTGATAAAATGAAATATAAAAATTTATTTGATATAGACACAAAAGTTTTTTCAAAAATTTTTTATTTTGATTTTTTTATGAAGTTTTCAAATTTAAACTTTATGAGGGTAAGTGGTTTCGAAAATATTTAGTATTTAAAATGGGTGTTTTTGACTTTTTTCAAAATTGAAAATTTTAAACAATGTATATAAAAATTTTTTTTCAAAAATTTTTTTTAAAGTACTAAAAATTGGGAACTTTGAAAAAAAAAAGTTTTTTTTAAACATCTCAAAAAAATGATTTTTATTTTTATTTTAACTGAAAAAACAATGTTTAAAAAAATTTTTTTTTTTTAATTGGAAAACTCTAGTAAATTTTCATTTTTTTCTAATTTATCATAAAAAAATTCACATTATCAATATTTTGAAAAAAAAATTATTATACCTCATCTTATTTTTATCTAAATATTCATTTTTTCAAATTTTTGATAGTGTAATCACTAGAAAAATATTAAAAACAATGCTAAAAAATTAAAAACAAATTTTTACTAGAGTTTCCTATTAAAATGATTTTTTTCAAAAAAAAAAAATTTTTTATAAGTTTTTTCAATTCAATTTTAAATTTGTTAATTTTTTTTTCATCTTAAAAAACTTTTAGTTTTTTTTTTAAAAAAAATATATTAGAAAAATTACTCTATAAAAATTCAATTTCATTATCTTCATAATTCTATAATTTTAAAATATTCAATAATTACTCAGTAGCTCAGCGGTAGAGCACCGAGTTCTCAAAATTTGAAAAGTGTTTAAAGTGTTTAGCCTGAGTTCGATTCCCGGAAAGATCAATTAAATTAAGAGTTTTTTTTATTTTTTTTTTAAATTTTTTATATATAATTTGATCAATTAAAGTATATATGTTTGCTACCTGAATTTACCTTTAAACCTTTACAAATTTTTTTTTTTCAAAAATAAAAATCTTCTTTAGGTACCAAAATTCGGATAAATGCTGGTAACTAAGTATTTTTTCTGTATGGGGAGTAGAAGATTTTAAATTATTTATACATACCAAAACCTACAATTAAAAAAATTTTTTTTTTTTTTTTTTTTTTCAAAAAAAAAACTTTAAAATTCATTTTAATCTATGGGAGTCACTATAAAAAAAATATAAAAACAATCTCAATTTTTCATTTATTTGGGGCTCTTATATTTTTTGATTTATTGCCCAAGATAGTTGTGAAAAATCACTATAAAAAAATTTGTATATAGAAATCGATTTTGGGCAATATCTCGAAAACTAGACGTCCTAGAGACTTCTAAACACCAAAAATCGAAATTTAAGAAAATTTTGAATTTTTTGAGCAATAAAAAAAAATTTTGATACCAGTTTTATATATACTCTTGTGAATAAGTAAAAAAAAAAGAATTCTATTTAAAAAAACGGTTTATAAGCTTTTGGAACACATTATTTTGATTATTGTAAATTTTTAAAGAATCTTTTTTGTTATGTTTACTAATACCCTTAAATCTCATGTCAGTCTACATAAACCAAAAGGTTCGAATATAATCATTTTTTGTTTATTTTGGACTTTATGCAAACTTATTTTTTAAAGAGATAAAATAACGAATAATCGAATTAAGAAACCATTTTATCAACTTTTGATTGTCCAAAATTATTTGTCAAAGAACTTTTGCTCAATAAATCTTCTATCTTTTATCAATCTTAGTCGTCTTTCTAACTTTTCAAACACCACCAATTATTAATAATAAAAAGTGTTTACAAAGAGAAAAAAGTCAAAGTTTTATTGAAAAAGTCCATTTTTTATTTTTTACAAAAACCTTTTTTGAATATTTTAACAACTATTATTTATAAAAATCTGCTCTGGAATTAAAGTTCTTGACAGCTACATTTTAAACTCTTTAAAGATCGAACAAATTACAGAAGACCAATTTTTTTTATGAGCTTAACTTTAACAAATTCACCAAAGCAAAATTCAGATAGGTAAAGGTTGGTTGAGCACTACAAAACTATGATCGTCATTCAAAGTTGCTGGAAAGGGCGCTTAGAAAACGGCTTATTATGCAAAGACACAGAAGAGGGGAAGGTTGTAGCTTGGAACCAGATTAAAGTTGGGAAATTAGTTGAATAGACAGGCACAAAATTACTTCGTGAAATTGACTTACTGATCGAAATCCGAAACCACAGCATCATTGATTTAATGAGCTACTGGTTTGATGAAGAAAGGAATTTAATTGTCTTCATTACAGAACTAATGCCTTCGGGTGCTTTGAGAGAGTATTTGAGCAAAGCAGGAGAACTTGGGACCACTGTAATTAAAAAATGGAGTGTGCAAATCTTGTAAAGACTCGATCATTCCCATTACTCACAGAGACATTAAATGTGATAATATTTTTGTTGATGGGAAAACTGGTAATGTTAAAATTGGTGATTTGGGCTTACCTCCATTGAAAGAAACAGATCATGCAAGTAGTTTGATTGGTAGGTCGCTAACAAAAAAAAAAATATCAAAAAAAAAAAACTTACCATTATGGAAAAAAAGTGAAAAACGGTTTTTCATTGGGAACATTAATAGAAACCTGAAAATTCAAAGTAAGATCAATTAAAAAAAGATTAAATAAATAAAGACAAAATGGAAGTATTCAACACAACAACATTTTTTTTAAGACTGTCTTTTAGTTGGGGTTTTTCTTTGATTGATCAATTATTCAAAAATTGTTCAAAAAATTGACTATTTTTGAGATCTCCAAAACCACAGTTACAATTTCGATAAGACAGTAGATTTAAATTGTATTTGTTGGGTTGATTGAAAATAATATAATGGATTATTATTAAAAGTTAATTGGTTTCTTCTATTAATTGAAATTACTTTTCATTTTCAGTAATGTTCCCAATGAAAAACCAGGTTTCACTTTTTTTGCTGAATGGTAAAATCTTTTAAAACAAAGAATTGTTGAAAAATTCTTGCATAAGAATTATAATCAATCACCTCAATCAATAAATGTGACACGTGAAGTAAACACTAATAAAGGCACTATTTGTTGCAAAATAAATGGAACAAAATTTTCATCCAGCTTTCGAAAGAAAGAGTTTAAAAATCATCTAACTTTAAAAATTTCAATTTTTAATTCAAAAAAACAGCTTAAAATATTAATTTACCCATTTTAGAATTGGGGACTTTTGATGATTTATTTTAATACTTTGAACAATAATTTATTTTGGAAAGCTGAATGAAAAATTTGATCTTTTTATTTTGCCATTAACTGTATGTTCTACTTACAATTTCAAATTAAAAATATTACAGAAAAATCTTTATTTCCTGAGTTATACCCAACAATTAAAAAGACATACTATTCAGATCCAAGGGGAAGTGTTGTAAAAAAGATGAATATTTTTTCAAAATTCTAATCAGACAACCAATTTAATCTATAAAAATAAATAACACAAAAAATATTGTCAACATACCAAAAAAACAAAATTCAAACTCGATGTAAGATTTAAATTCCCATAATACTCTCAAAAGCAAACCTCTTGTAAATACGATCGATCTGAATTTTTTGAATTTAAATGAAAATAACACTTCTTCAAAAAATATAAATAACTCTAATAAAAATACAAAAAATGAAAATTTAATAAATTTAATTAACCGGAATATGCTAAACATTAATAATATTAATTTAACGAACCCGAAAAACACCAAAATTATCAATAATAATGACAACATCTATAATAATTTGGTTTACTTAAGAAAGATCAATCTTAATATAAAAAGCAGTTATGATAGTAATAATAACAATTATGAAAATAATGATAATACAAACAACACACCGACAACACAGACAACACACCGACAACACAGACAACACCAATTCCAATTTTAATACTCGACTTTGAGAATTTTTTACAATTCCCAACCAACAGATAAACGCATATCAGAACAATTCAGAAACGGAAATGATTAATCCAAAAAATCAAACAATTCTTCATTAAAATGTATTTTATCAACAATTTTAAATTACCAAAATATTTTTTTTTTTTTCTGTTCCATCATGTCAAAAAGAATAATATTTATGGAACATATTTTAAAGAAAGCATCAATATCTTTTTTTTTATTGTCGTGATTTTTTTATTTTTTTTATCATTTAATTAAATATAATTTAATTATTTGATGAAAAAAAACATAAGATTAGTATTTTTTTGAAAATGAAATTTTTTATTTAAAAATTTTAACATTAATGTGCTAAACATAATATATATATTAACTGTAATAAATTCTTTATATTCTCCAATTTTTTTTTTTTTTATTTATTATTTTTTTTTAATCCAATTACTTTATTGTTGCTATTAAAAAACAAAAAAAAATAACAATAATATCTTAATAATTAAGATAATTGTAAATAATAAGTGAAGGGTTTAATTTTGATTATTTTTCTTTAAGGATTTTTTTTTTCATAGTTATTCTAAAACTTTTTTGAAATGAGTATCTTGAGTCTAAAAGGAAAAAATAAGGATTTTGACAATTATTTTTTTTAAAATCCTTTTTCAAGCATAAAAAAACAGTAATCTATGTTACTAAGTAAATGTTTCAAACATTCACCTAATTAAAAAGGTATATTTTTAAAAATGAGAAACAATTCATAATTGTAAGATTTACTAATGGAAGAATTTTTCAAACACAATAAAACGCACGTTGTAATTTTTTTCAAAAAGAAAAGAAAAGAAACCACATTTTAGTTCATACATGAAAAATTAAAGAACAAATTTTTTTAGCAACTGAATTGACAGATACCAATATGTTTAGCAAGTATAGGTCTTGTACTACAGTCAGTTTCACTTTTAAGGTACAAACTTTCAACGAAATTTAAGGCACAAAAAAAATCTCAAATTAAAGCACAAAATTCAAATTCTAGTAAAAATAAATTGTAAAAAAAAAAATTCCAAATTTTGTACCTTAATTTGAGATTTTTATTGTGCCTTAAATTTCGTTGAAAATTTGTGCCTTAAAAGTGAAACTGACTGTAAAAAAAAATCCCAGAACAATTACTTTACAAAAAAAACCGAAAAAAATAAAGGAACAAAAGTATGGAATAATAATATTTTTTATTGTCTGGCTCAAGATCGAATTTACTTTCAATTTCAAGTGTTTATTATTCCATTCCAAGTAACTTTTTTTTTTCATTGAGATCTTTCAATGTATTTTTCTTTATTTTTTTTTTATTTTTTTTTGAAAATTTTTTTTCATAAAAATAGAAAAGAACCTTTCAAAAAAGTGAAAATAAAAAAAAATGTAAAACTATGTATTTTTTGTTTTTATACTAGCACATGTACTTTAAAGACTATTATATGTTGGTATACATTGTTTTTGTTTATTTTTCTTGATATATATATTAATCATATTTTTTTAAAAGAATTAATAAATACTATAACAAATTAAAAAATTCTCAAAATAAAAAATTTTTTTCATATCTATTTTATTTATTATCAAAGTCTATGAATATTTAAGGAGAATAAAATTTATTATTAATAAGGTACTAAAAATAATAAGTAAAAAAAATATTAAGAACAAAAAAAATGATTAGTAATTAAATTGTGAATGATATATCTATGATTATTTTTCAAAAAAAAAAAAAAACAAATCTACAATATTTTACAGTGACAATCAATTATATAATATAAACTTTGAAATAAATTTAAGGGACAAAAAATTTCTAAATTTCGACAAAAAGTCGGATTCCACAAAAAAACTTCTGAAAAAATATGAGATAATTTGAGGTATTTCCCCCTTATTCCCTGTACAAAGTTTATACCTTTAAAGTGATACTGGTTCCA